TAGGTTACTTGGTCACAAGACTGAGGAGTGTTATACCGCCGGAGACATCATCCAGAATTGCATAGACATGGGAAAGTTGAACTTCGGGCCTGATTCTATGTGTGATCCTGTTCCACACACGGCCCAAGCTATACAACCCTAAACCCGCTAGGGCGTCATGGGAAAAATACTTCAAAATAATAATAATAATAATAATAATAATAATAATAATAATAATAATAATAATAATAATAATAATAATAATAATAATAATAATAATAATAATAAAACTCTCATAACTTTTAAAAATAAAAATGTCAAAAATAAAAATAAAAATCTAATCAGTCCATTCTTGCTCCGCATCATTCTTCGTTGGTTGGAGAAAACTCAAACCCTACTTTTAAAATGCGATAAGATGATTTCTTTTTTGCATCCTTTATCAACCTGAATATTGCAAACATGATCTTGAGAGACCTGAATATTACAAACACGATCTTGAGAGACCTGAATATTACAAACACGATCCTGAGACTTGTGGGTTAACCATAACGACTATGCATTGAAAATCACAAGCCCTCGAGGAAAGGGTCCCTGTATGTTGATTTTTCAGCGACATAAACTTGTTGAAATTGCTCAAATTTTTACTTAGGGCAGACAATAAACTCATTTTTTAGTTGAGCACTAGATTTAGTTGTCAAACAAATTTCAAAATTTGATTATCCTTTGAGGTCCTCCTCTTTCTGTTCATTAAATATTTTCATGTGCTTGATCTTTTGCTTCTCCATCTCTCCATTGATAAGAAAATTAGATATCCTTGCTTCCACAGGATAACTTCTCTCCTGTGATCTTGCTCTTCATCATATATAGAATGTTCATAAAAGATGAGATATCTTTGGAATGATAAGTTTGATTGAAGATCCAGACCTATTGGTTCTTCATCGAACTTAATTAGATCATACTCCCAACCACGAGGAAGTGGATCACTCTCTCGACCATGAAGCTCCCCATACAAAGCGTTGGCATGGAATGGGTTCTCAAAAATAGCATCCGACTCACTACCATCATTATAGTATGCCGAAGCTAATTTTGCACCAAGTGCAGGGTCAGCTCCACTACTTGCCTTCTCAAAATATTGTTCTCTATCTCTCGGATAGCTCTGAGGTTTCGTTCACCTCGGATGGATTGAGTCCCGATACTCAACCATAGACCTTATCCACGAACCATCATGGCTATCAATAAACACTACTATCCAAAAGAATCGACTACGCTTTGACAACACCTGATGTAATATAAATTTTTCGGTGACTAACACCTAAGAAATTCAACAACGTTTTAGAGAAAGAAATAAAAATCATGAAAAAAGTCACAAGAAGAATAAACAAAACGCGCAAATCTGAATCATCCGCTACGGGCCCATAAGCACAAGAGGGAAATAAATACCCACAATGGGCAAAACTCTTTCATTCGCTCTACAGGATATGTAAGGATCGATATTTTTATTCCCAAAATCTATCTAATTTTTACATTGGATGTCCAACTCCTTTTATTACATTGCACGTCCACCTCCTATTTAAAAGATAATTACAAGAGATAAACACAAAACTACCTATCCTTTTTCTTTGGGGTAAGTCAGTGGGGAAGAAGGCCCTTATCTGTTTTCCATTAATAAAATTAAAAACAAATAGTTCCTTAATTTACAAGCCTATTAGGGCAGTTGCACTAAATCATGAAGTAAAATAAAGAAAATAAAGTCTGACTATCGAAAACACCAAATAATAGCTCTAGAACTAAATGAAGCCTTCTTAGCAAAGGCATTGGCTACCGTATTGGCCTCACAAAAGATATGAGAAATTGACTATATACAATTTGATTACTTCGACAATCAGTTGCAGTCGTATGTAATCTCCATGGGGCTCGACAACAATCATGAATGGAATTCCTAAGTAAAGATAAATCATTTTCTACTTGTAGAGGAAAGCAATTCATCGGAATGGCCAGGTTGATACCTTTCTCAAGGGTATGAAACTCTGCATTATTTTTAGCGGCATATCCAAATGGCTTAGAAAAAGCATCTATAAAATCACATTACTATCTCTAATAACACCACCATCTCTTGCCAAACCTGAGTTATATACAGAAGCACCATCAATATTCAACTTGAAATATTAGGGCTGAGGGAATGACCATGTCATCGAAATAATGGATTGAGGTTTCTGCTGATGCCATGTGATTGGGAAGTTATCAATGATTGCTCTATCTGATAAATGAAAAACCCACTTTTTTGCATCTGCCAATTCTTTAATATGAGAAGGGATTTGCTTAACAATAGGTTCCCTTCTTGTAAATCTTGATTGAAAGATTCTCCTATTTCACTCCTCCCATAATAACCAGATTGTTGTAAAGAAGATAGAAGTCCAAATATTAAGAAGACCATCTTATTTAAATCAGAATGGTAACTAGCTTCTCAACATGACAGGAGCCGAAATACTAGGGGTAAACTGCTTGCCACACCGCCATGCCACTGATCTCCATACACCCACTGAAAATACACAGTAAAACAATACACGACAAAGATAATCATCATTGTTCCCATCGAAGGGGCATATGGAATCCAGGTTCATACCATGTCGATCCAATAAAATGCAGTGCGTAAACTATTATGGATTGCCAACCAAGAAAGTTATTTGGCTCTAAGGTGACATTTGGAAGACCAAAGAGCTTGAAAAATAGGCTGCGATGATCTTTTATCTTAAATAAACTGCCAAGCTTCTTTAATCGAAAACAAACCATTAGCAGAATGCATCCATACTAAGAAACACTTTTTAGATTGTAAAAGTATAATATTATTCTCAATCTCACCCCATAAACTGACAAGAGAGGCCGAAGTTGGTGGAGGAAGAGCCCAAGACTGAGGTGAACCTTCTATGTAATCAGAGACTTTCCACCCAACATAGTCTTCAAAATCCTCATGTACATTGCCACAAGAGGAATCCCATATAGACTGCCCTGATAACCAGGGATCTAACAAAAAACTTATGAGCTGACCATCCCCAATAATCCATTGAACATTATACTTTAGATAAAATAAACCCAATAGAATACACTTTCTAGCATAGGAATACCACTGTATCTCCTTGACCTCCTTTATATAATTGTTCTTGAAATACTTGTGCTTGAAGAACCGAGCTAAGATAGACGAGGGATCTGCCAAGATTATTCATGCCACTTTCATCATCCCTGCAATATTAAAAGCTACAATATTGTGTATGCAAACTGTCTTCCATTTAACATGGTGAACCTCCTTTTTTCTGTCACATCTATGCATAGAAAATTCCTTTGCAACTTCTCAATCATATTGCAAGTTCAGTTTGGTAGGATAAAAGATAAAAGCAAAGAACTAAGTACTATCATCCTACCCCTAGTTTCTCTTCCTTTTCCTTAGAAGCTTTGCTAAAGTAAACACCATTCTTATCTTTCCCTCATGTTTTTTTTTTTGGGTGAGTTAGTGGGGATTTTTGAACCCCTACCCTTTGGTGATAATGGAGTCAGAGACCTCATCATGGGTCTCGACTTCCTCTCACTTTGATCTTAAACATATCATGAAACAAACCTATCTAAAAATCCATGCTCAATAAAAGAGTATGCCATTCCTCTGCCAACCTCAGTCTTAGGAAGCAAACCGCTAAGAGATTTGCTACAACGGACTCTAAAAAAATATAATGACTTCAGGAAGCAAACCACTAGATTGACTTTCCAAAATAAAATACAGACTCCTTCCAAAATCATAACTTTATCATGCTAAACTAAAAAATCCCTACTAAAAATTGATCCTAATAAATTAAAAATAATAAAAAAACTACTATAACTTTTAAAAGTAAAAATAACAAAAATAAAAATAAACTTTTAATTGACCCATTCTTGATATGCATCAGTTGGTCAGATCTTTCGACTATGAGATATTGCTATAGTGAGCGGTCCGATATCTGGAGCAACAAACTATATGCTAATGTTCCAATCATCAAACAACCCCATAGTAAGCGGTTTGATTTTTTGAACCTTGGACCTCGTGACCTGCAAAAGTTTTAAGTAAGCCCAAAGGTGCGGTTTTACAAATATTGGACTCCTCAAAACTTTTAAAATTTCGAAGTATGTCATGGTCCGATATTAGTGATATTTGACAGTGCTAAAGTGAAGTTTAGGCAATCCATGTCATAATTGGGGTTTTGAATAAGATAGTCTATGTTCATAATATTAGACTGACTGCTAATATGCTACCAATTCATTAGACAACAATACATACCAAAAAATAAAAAATTTGAACTAAAAAAGGTCTGGTGTTGCAAACAACAGACTAGGAGGCAAAATTAGAAAAAAAATAATAATAATGGCATGGGGATGGATTTCAGCATAAAATACTTGAAAATCTAGATCCCGACCTAATATTTTATCCTTTTGAGGTCAGATCATAAATTTTCCTCATCATTATTCACTAAGGAGCAGTGTTCAAAAAATCAAACCAACATAAGAAATGGCCAAGAGCTAGTTCTGGGTAACCAGTAAACGAGCAGATTGAACTAGCCTAAACGGGCAGGTTTCTGCTAGTCCAAAAATTACTAAAATAATAAATAATATAAACAAAGTACAAAAAATATAAAAAGTACATTTAAAGCATTATTAAATGAAGATCCAAATAAAGGTGAAACGTACCAAAAAATAAAATAAAATTTAAAAAAATCGATTTGACCCAAGGTTTATTTTGAAATTATCCAAAAAAAAAAGAGGAAAAATGTAAAAATAAGTATTTATGACCAAAAACACTTTACAATCTTTGACAAAACCACAAAATCATTAAAAAAAAAACAAATTACAAACAAATATTTTATTTTTTGGGATTATATATACATACTCCAGGTGGGATCACCCAAACCAGATCGGCTGGTGCCCAGTTCCGATTTGACCAGCCGGATCTGAGTTGAACTGGCCGAGTTTCCAAACACTTCTAAGGAGTCATATTTGTGCAGATGATTGATGTCCGGATTGTGGAGGTTGTGATGGTCAGCTCCTTCCTCAACTCGTTGGTTGCTGCCTTGGCTCTGCTTGGCATAATACGGGTCAACAAGAAACCCAATGTCATGATCTCCACACACTCAGGAATGGAGGAGCAGAGCATTGGGGCTGAGCTCCACCTGCTTGTGTGCCTCCATAACGTCATTGACGTGCCTTGCTCCATCAACCTCATTGAGTCGTGCCGTGGCCACGGTACCTTCTCCCTTTCTGTCAACACCATGCACCTGATCGAGTACAATGAGCGCACGGCCGCACAGCTGTTGTACCGTCGGGACATCACGCACATGCTGGTTGGGGGTGAGTGGAAGCAGATAAGCGATGCATTCGAGGCATACAGGAGCAAGGTGGCCTTCTCGATGCGGCACAGCACCACCATCTCCTTCTTCTTCAACATGTATGAGGACATCTGCGGCAGAGCCAAGGAGGTGGACGCCTCCATGATCGTTCTTCCCTATCACATGCTCTATAGAGCTGATGGCAAAATGCAGGTGCGGAATTTAGCAATTAGGAAGCTCAATCAGAGGGTGATAAGCCATGCACCATGCCCAGTGGGAATAATCATCAATCGGGGCCTCGGGGGCACCACGCTGAGGTCTGCGGCCCACATGTCCCACAACCGCAATGTGCTCGGGCTCTTTTTTGGAGGGCCAAGTGATCGCGAGGCGGTCACCCTAGGGGGAAGGCTGGCTGAGCATCCCAACATCAGCTTTACACTGGTCAACTTCTTGTTTACAAGACCTAACAATCGGCCGGAGCAGGCAAGGCCTCGAGTCTCTTCTAACACAGCGAGGGTTCGGAAATCTCAGCAGAAATCTACTCCAAAACTGAATTCTTTCGCCGAGAACGAGAAGGCCCTAGACCAGATGTTTCTGGATAGTTTTAGAGGGAAGCATGAGAAAAATAGGAGAGTGTTCTATGAAGAGAGGATAGTGAAAACGAAGCAAAACCTGGTTGCAACACTGCAAGCTTTAGATGCCGAGTGCACATTGTTTATCGTAGGCCAAGGACAGTCGCTAGCTGCCGCTGGGCTGATGATGTCGACAGAGTGCCCTGAGCTTGGCCCTGTAGGGGACCTGTTAGCTCACTCATATTCTTCCATTACTAGTTCAGTTTTAGTTGTAATACAAAGTAGTTCTCACAAGTCATTTCCACACGAGAGCTAGAGAAAATGATGCATTTCTGTAAATCTTTCAACTGGGCAAGTCAAACGAAAACTCACCCAAATCGACTCTCCTCGGTGGTAAGTGTCCATCCAAGGGTGACTCTTCCTGCGCCCTGTTAGACTCGTCTGAGACAATGAGTCTCGCCATGTTGGTCGAGTCTCTAAGGTCTTCACTGAATCCTTTCCTCGTTCAGGGCATTCTTGCTTGCGAAAAAATGGGAGATCTGCTTCAAGTCTTTAGGTTGGGCATAGGGCACCTCTTTTGTATAGGCCCGAATATGTGCATCAACAATTGATATGTATATGAGTGTCAGAAATACGAAATTGACTTTTTAATTAAGACATTTGTACTCTGTTTCAATAAAGAGAGAAGTAAGATTTCATGTCATACCAAGTACTTTTAAATTGATATTTGAAAAATAGATGTTAAGAAATGTTTGGGTTTCTAAATATCAAGTATGGGTATCATGTTCTTGGTGTGCTGGCATTAGCAAAAAAAACCATAGACCAAAAGTCCATATTATGGAGCTTTGAGTCTCGTAACATATGAAGCGCATGACAAGCTGGCACTTGCTCGATATCACCTGCAATACTGCCCTCCCCCCCACTTCAAGATGGTTCATCAAGGAGTCCCCACTTCAAGATGGTTCATCAAGGACTGCGACTCCTTAGTATCATCAACAATAGTGACAATCTCACCAGTATTCCCAGTATTCCCATGATTAATAGGCACATGCCCTTGGGAATGGGTAACACGTTGGCCGGACATTTGGACAATAAGATTCGAGCAAGAGGAGAAGAAAGACCTGAAAAACGGAGATTTCCAAGCTTAAAGACCCATGGCGTCAAAGGCCACATTTTATAGCACCTAGCTTGAAACTGGGCATTGTCATTGGTAATAGTGCCATCACCATTGCCAATAGCGTCAGAATCAGAGACTTGTCAACTCAAAGAAAGTCCAAGACATCAGTGTACCAATCTCATCAGCCTGAATCGGGGTAGATTTGATCGAGAAGGGCGATTCCCTTAGGCTTAGGTCTAGCAAAATGACCAAAATGCGCTCAATAGTTTGAAGATGGCCCAAATAGCTTCAGCGCCACTAGCTATGATGCCAGAAATTCAAATCTCCAAACTAAACTGGATCCGAATCGGATGGATGTCCCAAATGACAAAATTATTGATCTAAGTCCAATTATTGACCTCCCCAATAGGATTTTTGCGGTACCTATTTGGAGCAGCTAGCCCATAATGCCGATCACCGTGTGAAGTTAAACTGCTCGGTCGGCTCCTTGGTCGCATGAGCTTAAACTATGAATCACTTCTATTTAAACAAACATTGTCTTTAAAACTCCTACTTTCTTCTAAAAATCCAACATTGTTCCTAGGCTTTAGGGCTATGATGGCTTAGGAATTGCATGTTTTTCTTTTTGTTTTTTTGGCTTTAATGGGGAAATTGGGGCAACCTTGCCCTCGAATTTGTCGAGGTAATGTCACATCAACTGCCAATCATAGAATGCTGACGAAACAAACATCAACCATCGAGCGTAGAATGGAGCCTAAACAATCGTCAGACATCATCGCAGATCAAAAGTGTTCCAAAGGAAGTTGAAAATGCAATGGATTATGATTGGTCCACAGATTGTACAGAAGAACACTCAGAAGATGGCACTGGCACTAGATCTCTGACACTTCGCCCATAAAATGGTACCTGGACAAGATCACATGATTTCGTAGCATTTAATTCACATTTAATTATGCTAACCGTAATTAAATGTTAATTCATGCGAGTTTGACGCCATTGCCACTAGCATGAAAGCAATTTCAAACAATGATGGAATTTGAATGGCCCAGATAACACAAAAAACGCTCCAGCGGAGGCTCTAAGGCCGCTTTGCCTATAAATAAGGCATTCGACCTTGATTCTAAAGGCTGAGATTTTATACCTTGGGCGTAAGCTCTGTCAGATCGATTTTGGACCATACCATAACCCTCTTCTACCCAAACCCAAGCCTTTAACCTAGGCCTTTTACACTTGAACTTGAAAGTGATCTGGATAACCAGACCTTCTGGATCCTCTTCCACCAATTTTCACTTGCCCAGTCAAAACCCAAGGATGGAGACTAGTTGTGCAACAATCTATTATGAATCAGCGCTGACTCCGGGCGTAGGGCCTAGGGGCTTGGCCTCAAGCATAATTTCTTCCCTTTTTTATTTCCAATATCATCATTATATATGAGCCTTTCAATGTTTTATTTATATTTATTAGTTGCATTTGATCTCATCTTGTATATTTATTATTACTCTCTCTCTTCTTTAGCTTCAATTATTTATTTATTTCCTTTATTCTATTCCAAAAATTTCTTCATTTAATCCCCCTCTTTCATAATTAAACACCTTCAAAATCTCTCTTGAACACCAAGGCTAAGGCGTTCGAGAACCCGGATTTGCCGATTGTTCGAGCGAGAGAAGGCCTTGTGGCCCGACTCTCGCCCAAAATTTAATTTGACGGGGTCCTTTCTCTACAAACTTTTCGACCCGTTTGTACCCGAAACCAAGACGGGGACCGAGTTCCCTACCCGCATTTTCAAATATAAACAGTATATTGATCAGTTTCTTTAATAGAGAAACAAATAATAATAATAATCCATTAACAATACTAATAAAAATATTGATTAATCATTTTGTAAGTTCAAGTAAAATAGGTCAAATATTAAAGTATTTTTTTTTTTTCTTTTCAAGTCTAAATTTGTAGAGTGGGTCCCCAAAAGCAATAATGGTTTTCAGCAATGGAAGAGAAAGGGGCGGGAGTTAACTAATGGATGGGTTTTGGTATTTTGTAAAATAAAAAATTAAATTTGTAAAAAAAGAAAAAAGAAAAACATGATTGGGGGTTAACCATCCCAAAGTTTTGAACTTGAAGTGGCCCAGGAGATTCTGACGGAGGGTCTTATGAAAATTTCAGGGAAAGGGTTAGGAGTCATTTTCTAAAAATAAAACTAATAATTATTAAGTTAAAAAAAACAAAAGGTTGAAACTCCCCCGTGACTCTAGGTCTTAAACCACTAAAAAGAAGCCATGCTATTTTTTTGGGAAGCCCCGGTCGTTGTGTAAGCAGTGAGAGGGTTATACGGAATGTGGACAGCTGGTGGTATTTTGAGCCCAAAACCCCAAAAACACGTTCAACCCGTCAACAACCACCCAATTGGTCTCCGCGCCATCGCAGCAACCAAGCTCAGCTGCAACACAACCCATGATGCTTCTCACCACCGCGAACGGAGGCGCCCGGAGCCATGGCCGCGACTGCAGAAAACTCCTTGGCCTGCGGTTGCCCGACCAACATCTTCTCCTCTGTGGAAGGGGTGGCCGAACGGAAGCTCTACATCCTGTGCGCGCAGTTGGGCTCTCTCCTAGTCCTTGTCCGCCTTTGGCACATGATCCTCAGGCTCATTCGCCTCCCTCAATACAACGCAGAGATCCTCGTAGGTTTTCGACTGCCCCGTACTCGATGAATGAAGCAGTTAAGTGAAATTGCTGTCTCATACTCTTTTGTTGTTGGTCTTGTTTGTGTCGGTGCAGGCTGCCACGGTCCTAGGTCCTTTCTTTCTGGGTCAGATCAGCTGGGTGAAGGCAGCGCTCTTTTCCCCAGAGGGGGTGAACGCACTGGTAGGATTTTCGTCCACTGGTGGCCTCCTGGTTGCGTTTCTCTGTGGTCTTGAGATGGACCCGTCACTCATCTGGATCCATGGCCATCGAGCCTGGTTCAGCATACTCGGTATTGTGTCCCTTTCAGCCGCATTTGGCACCGCCACATCGAACACTTTATACAACATGATTGACCCCAGGACCGACCGTGACAACTTCCGCTTTGTGCTGTCGCTCTTCTTCACCCTCACAGGTTCTCCGGCATTGGTCCGACAGGCCACCGAGATGAAGCTGGGCACGACCAAGGTTGGGCAGCTTGGCGTCTGGGTAGCAGTGCTCAACGATATCGCCTGCATCACAGTGATGGCGCTGATGTCTGTGTTGCCTATCCTCTCTGGGGCCTCAAAAATGGACAACCCATTGGAGCCCTTGATAGCAGTGGCCTACCCGGTGCTGGCCTATGTCTTGGTCGGCCCTTTGATGTGCCATGTGATGAAAGACAGGAACAGCGACGCACAGATGATGGTGGTGATGGGGATCATGTTGGCATACACGGCCATGGGGGAGGTCGTGGGATACAACGGCATGGTGGCGAGCTTCATCTTAGGGATTATGGTGCCGAGGAAGGGGGGTGTGGCTACATCGCTCTTGGACCGGCTCTACTACCCTGCGCGCTTCATTTCTTTGCCTATGTATATGTCATTCACGACCAATGTCTCATGGGCAGGACCGATAGAGCCGCTCGCAGTTTTGCCAGCATTCATTATGGTGATCTTGTCTACAACAGCAAAGCTGGCGATATCTTTGGCCATGGCGTGGGTGTGCAATACTCCACTTCACGACGGCCTCATCTTAGGTTTCCTCCTCAATGTTAGATCCTTTCCAGACTTGATATTATTCGTTACGACCGTGGAGCAAAAAGTAAGTCCCCTTTTTCTCCCCCTGCCTTGAAACAGTTCTTTCTGATGATCTCACAAGCACAAATGGTTTTCCTCTCGTGTTGATCTTTCAAACCTAGAAAAGCATGTTCTTATGTGTTTATGCTAACATTTTCCTCAAGAATGAAGCTAACTACTTGATAAAATCATGCACAACACTATAGTTTTTAGGCCATCCAAGCACTTTCACTTACATGACATCACAATTTAATTCATTGAGAAATTTGCGTATGGACCATATAGGGAGGTCAATTACAAAATGCGATCACGTTTGTCTCAAATTACAAGTGGTACCTCTTTGCGGCGTTTTTTTCCCCCAAGTTACCCCCTATTTGGTACTGCGAACACTAGACAGGTAGGGTTTATACCGTGCAAAGAAAAATAGCTGTCCGGTGTTTGACAACTATATGTAACTCTTTCGCATCTACCAAGAGCTCCCTTTCTCTCTCTATACATATCACATATGGTTTCGGGATTCATAGTTGCTCCACTCTCTTTCTCTACCTTTCTCATACCCATTCACCCAACTGCTTCACTCACTCTCTCTCTCTCACCCATTCACCCAACCGCTCCGCTCTCTCTCTACCTTTCTAATACCCATACCCCAAAACCCTATTTTTAGACAGGAGAGAGCGGGAGGCTTTCTCTCTCTAGTGTCGATGAGAATCGGCCCAAAAAGCTGGTGGGTTGGGAAGAGAGAGAACATGAGAAAGGCAAGAGATGGTTTGGTTAAACAGGCCATTGGCTCAGTAACACAGAAAATATCAGGGCAAGATTCTCATAGCTCCATTAATGGCGGATTAATACTAGAAAAACAGAGATCCATTGAAGTTGCATAAGCCAAAACCAAAGAAAAAAAAATCCCAATGTAGCTTTTACTTCTTATGCGTAATGGCGAAAGACCCAGAAATCGGATGGTTCAGATTTCAGAAGCTCAAGCCATGAAAAACCACCATTTTCTCAACAACTTCCATTCTATGGTGAGAACCAGAAGAATTGAGGTTTGAGAAGCTTACACCATGAAAGTATGATCCATTTTCTCTGCAATTTCCTTCATTAGTTAAAACCCAGAAGATACGAGAAGTTTCAGAAGATAAAGCCATTAAAGACTTTGTTACTATGAAGAATTTCAATTGAAGAGCTTCCTAAATAAATGAATATCCCTCTTTTCTCCTCAATGAAAACCCACAAATATTCAGAAGTTACAGAGCTGAAGCCCTGGATAATGCTCCTCTTTTTTCTAAAATTTCTCCAAGCATAGAAGCCATCTCTCTCTCTCTGATATTTTTCAGCGCTAAAAGGAGGCAAAATTTTAGTCGTTTAATTCGGAGTTTGTTTTTGGTAAATCACTTGAAGGGGTAAAAGTGGGTGCAGAGAGATACAGAGGAAATACACTCGTAAAGGGTTTCGACTTTCAAGAATCTTTCTCTCTCTAGCTCTCCCACAAATCTGGACTCTCTATCTAACTTTATTATTATCACAATACCCATTCTTTCTCTCGACCGAACGTTTCCCAATCTCTTTTCAATCTCTTGCCCCAAGCCCCATTTTCAAATTCTTGAGCTTTGATTGAGACCCATCTTCCTGGTTCTTCATCTCCCGATCATTCTCTCTCTAACTTTATCACATACACAAAGAGTTGTCTAGTATTTTAAACACCGGACAACGAATGCTAAAAAATTTAAAGGACAGGAAGCTGTCTAGTATTTTGAACACCAAACAATTGTTTTGCTTTGTATGATATAAACTACACTTGTCCGGTGTTCGTATTACTGGACATAGGGGTAACTTAGGAAAAAAAACGCCGCGAGGGGGGGTGTCGCCCCAATATGGTCCATACGTAAATTTCTCTAATTCATAAGAGTAACTGAACAATGTCATAAATAGAGTAACAATATACAGTTAAATGAGAGATACGAAGTCGATCCATTATAGTCATAGGGCCTTTGGCAGGTGTCAAGGAGACATAGACATTGTTGTAAACTAAGGGAAAAATTATAGATACCCCAATTTCAATTTTCTACATATCCTACCCTTTAATACTTTTTGTATTATACTCTAAACCCCAACTCTATTTTTCATTGTATTTACTGCCAGTCAAATAGTCAAAGCATTTTGAGACCAAAATGTCATTTTTTCCACTCTTCCCCATTTTTCTCCCTTTATCCTTTTAGACACGTGACCCTCTCTCTTACTTTCTCTATCTCTCTCCACCCATCCTCTCTCTTTCTCTCTCCACCCATCCTCTCTCTTTCTCTCCCTACCCTCCCTCACGTTTTCTCTATCTCTCTCTACCCTTCTTCATTCTTTCTCTCTCTACCACTCACATGCCCATAATGCGATCTAGCACACCTTCTGTCAGACCTCATTGGATTCCAATAACTTTCACATGCCCATAATATGATCTAGAACAAGATATGCCAGACCTAATATTTGTGGCGGCTCCGCAGATTTTTCAACTGCCACTAACATTGTATATTTGTGATGCTGTGTCCATAGCAGTCGAAAAATCCTTGCCGCCCATAAAAAATGGATGGCAATGGCACTATGGGTGAATTCACTGTAGCATTTCACCTATAGGCGTTGCGTAGATG